TTTGATCAAAACGGAATGAACGGTTTAATTTATATCTGCAGAGCTGTTTGTCTGATAGGCTGCATTGCTTTTACTTTAACGGTAAAAGGATGGCCATTTTAAATATATTGGAATGAAAACATGGAGATTCACTTTTTTATTACAATAATTAGATCAAATATTCTCTTTGAAGTCTTTATCCTTTGCGAAGACAAGTTGACGAAGTCTGGGAAAGATATAATCTCGTTCTACACGAGCATTCTACAGTCACGGTAACAGTTGCACTATGTTTACTACTGCTAGAGAAGATTTACGGGGAACAAAGTGAAAAGCGTTAACTTTATATCGGCGTGATTGCAGTATTTTTCAAGCATTTCTCACAAGCTTGTCAGATCTCTTGCTTCTTCCACCAACAATACTATAATCGGAAGGATAATAAAAGAAAAAGGAAGTAGCGTCTTTTCGTTTATAAATACGACGGATTCAAAGCGGGAACGGTGGCGAAGTGATCACGCGAATCCGCTTAAGTCGAGCAGGATAATCGGCTTGCAGGCTGCCGTGCCATACATCAACTCGCTTTATCCTCTCGGGGCGCGAAACATTTTTTCTCTAAGCCCAACTGTACGAACGCCACATGTCCTAAACACGTTCGCGACCATGGGCAAATTTGAAATACCCTCACCGTGAACAATGCATTTGTTGCAATTGTTTCGCGTAATTTCTTATTTATATAATTTTTACACGTTTAAAACATAGTGAATAAACCAAACAAAGTATTTCACATGAATGTCATATATGTGTAACATTTTGATATAACCAAAGCGAGAATAAGGTAGACTATATACCAAATATGTATGAACCTTTTGTGGTCGTATACCGCCATAATTGCGATTTCGAGCTTTTACAAGTTCGCATTTCTAAATGTGGGATTAGGATTAGGACATCGCATAGATTGATACTCAATTTTCTTCTTTTCTAGTATTTAAGTGCTCCATGGGTTTTCAGTTTTCTTATGGATAGAGTTTCTAGAAATTCAAAAAATGCTCATCCGCAAAGAATTCAACGGTAATCAACAGCGTCACATAAACGACTATTTATTATTGATATGAAAGGTTTTATTTGAAAATCTGACACAAGTAATCGATTTTTAAGACATGTCATCGTTGGTGGAAGATGCTTGAGACGATAAATATAAAATACTCCATATTTTACAGCATTAGGGTTTTATTTTTTCACAATTAGAACCTGGATGATAAGAACTGTTAACACTATAGGAGAATCGCAAAATATTTCCACTGCGTCAAATAGCTCGCCTATCAACAGTGTTTCTATATTAGAGCACTAATATCATTCGAGTATTGCAAGAGTGATAATTGTAATCGATGTAGAAGATCTAATATACAAAAATACAACTCACAGAATCTTATCCGACAATAGAATGTATAGTTTGCAACAACAATGGCCAACGAAAGGAAACTAGACATTTTTGTAAAAATTGTTCCGTCGCATTATGCATTTCACCATGCTTTTAAGCATTCCATACAATTATATTTACCATCTTTAACACGTTGACTGCCACGGGGGTCACCGATGACCGAGGCATCCAAATTACAAGAAAATAATTATAACTTATAAGACAACTAATGTCAAATACAAATGTTCAGTAATGTAAATAACTAGAGAATAGTGTAACGTAACAATTATGGAACCAAATAATTAATAATTCTTCCTTTTAATCTTTGCTGCAGAAAGAATAAACGATACATAAAATACTGATGTCTTTCATGGGAGTTAACGTGTTAAGTGCCTTCCACCAACGATGACATATCTTAAAAATCGATTACTCGTGTCAGATTTTTATATAAAACACTTTATAGCAATAATAAAGATGCACAAGATATCTCGTCCATAGCGTTGTACGACAATATCATGGTGATGAGATACATCGTCCATAGCATCGTTTCTTCGATATCGTAGAACCGAGATTCTCGTCCATTGTAGCGAAAGAGTTCAAACGAATCGCTGTGTCACACATCTGTGACGCGTGGCCGCGAACGTGTTAATGAAAATGCCTCGCTAGATTCGAAGCAGTCTCCTTCGTCTGTTTCCTGGCTATCAATCAGCTGGTAGCTTGTTCTCGACAAGACAGGCTCATTGATAGTGTCTGCGCATCGATTCCGGTTACGGTGGATCGCGAGGCGGATGAGAACACGCGTTGCTAGCAGGATGATGGGATAGAGGGATAGCGGGCGGCACGAAAGATCGAAGGCTGCGAAGAAAAATAGGTGAGGCGGTGAGTCACCATCAGGAGGAACACAAACACCATAGCTGCTGACGCGAGACCGGGCAATAATTTTGAAAGTCTGCCGACGACATAAGTTCGACGCCCCTGGCGGGCCTGAGATTGGCCGTGTTCCAGGTGTCAGAGATCCTGGTCGAACGGAGGCGTATCCTGTCTTCTCCTTGGCCCTGGATCAACCGAGGAACTCGGTCGTGTCAGTTGCAAGTTTGCACGCAGATTTTATTGAGAGGTTTATCATCTATTTGGGAAAGGTCACACGAGGCTTGGGTAAAATTTGAATTAATCTCTTGTTCTAAGATTTCTTCCATAACTTTACTCACTAGGAATACTTTGTCATTAATAATTTACCAAAAACAAAAATTATCGATTCATCTTTACTTCAGAATATAGCAATTAATAATAGAAAAACAGTATTTACTTTGAAATCAAAGTAATTGAGTAACTGTCAATTTTTGTGTGCGGAGACGAATGATAAGATGTTATTAGCCGATTTATTAAATTAAAGTTATACGTTCAGTGGCACGAACGGATAATTACAACCGTCAGCGGACGGTATCAGACAGTATCAGACTGAAGCTTGCTTACGTTATAAAGTTAGTCTTTATATACTACATATTTCTTCTGGAATTTTCTTTAATGTTAAACAGAAGCAGATTTCAAAATTTCTCGTTACCAACAGTTGATCAATATTTAACAGAACGCATTAACGTATTTCGGCGGGTTGTGAATATTCTTGATTTTTATAGAAAACGTACGATAATATTTCGAAAAATAATTCTTAGATTTGTAATTTCTTTGAGAAAGTTTGATTTTGTCTTTTGATAGGCCAGTCATCATTTTACCCGATATGTTTAATTTCAGAATTTTCAAAATCTATAACTCTATTTTTAAAAACAATTTAACGATGAAATGGATCCAGCTTTAAACCAATCGTCAATTTTCGAGAGCTTCTATTTCGTTTAAAGTTATTCGTGTTAGCAATGTCCTCTTCCATATTTGAAAACTGGAAGAGGTCGCTAAGGGGTGGATCCGGAAAATGCAGTGAATGTGGAAGCAGTTATAACGTAATCCGAGGAATGTTGACATTGGGATTGCTGCAGTACGTACTGATATATTATTATAATGTTAACAAACGCGGTACTGGAATTCTGGAAAGCTTTTCCATGTACAAGGTTCATGCATGATTTTTAAAGCACTGATGAAGAA